AACAAAAACAAAGATTATGTGAACATTTTCCCGGGACCAAATTTTGTGTCGCCTGAATGGAGGTGTCCTTTGAATAGAGGAGTCCCAGAGGAGAGGTTCCACTTAAGATGGTAATTAGTATAGATCTAGGCTATTTAGACTCTTGAATAGTTTTTTATTTTCTGATTAAAAACGTAACTGCATCTAATAGAATTTGGTGGTCAACATATTCCAAGTTACATTAAATCTGCACATCAAATAAGCATCTTATACCTTATTGCAATAACTTTTTTCACAAGTAGTCATTTTTAGAAAAATAAAAAAATAAAATCAAAAAACTTTTAAAAAAACAACTCAATTGAAAAAACATTGCGGACAAAAAGACAATTGAAAAAAAAACAAGGAAACTAGCAGTTAAAATTTGCAAAACCTGTAGTTTGCATGACGACAACGCACAATTAATTCTTATTTCGCATTTTGTTTGTTTTCGTGTTTGCTTTTTTGTTTGACAACGATATTACGATGAGATAATAAGGTTGATGTAAAAATGACTATAAAGTAAGAAAATATTTTAGATATAATTTGTCCTAACCTCTCCCAAGTCTCTGCCCGTCACTACCATAGCAACGATTTTCTCTGCTCCCCAAGCTCCCCATATTCTCTCTATGACAATATACAATTATTCAAACCAGTCCCTAGGCGTTCTCTTGCTTCGTTGTCCAGTTGTCCGCGCGAAGTCTGGGAAAGAGCGGGCGAGTCTTTCTCGGTGACGTCATAGCTCACGGTAGAGTCCAGGACTGACCGAGCCGAAAACGCCTTAGGACAAGGCTGACAACTATTAAAAAAAAGCAAAATTTAGCGCGATTAAATTCGGCCACTCCGCGAGCAGAGCCCGATTTTGTCTTCTCAAGAGAGGATAAGCTCTGCCTGAATCGCGCCAAGCATTTGAACATCATGGTCACCGCCTGAAGTTCTTGGTCAATCTTGTTTTCTCTGGTGAAATTGGTCTTTCGAGAACGCGCACCCGTTTAACCGATGGTTATAACTGAACCCACAGTACCAAACTCCAAATGCGGAAGCTGCATAAAATGTCTGTGAAAAAACTAACCTCCTCGTTCCCAGAATTCCCTCTCTGGGCCACAAAACTGCAGGGGCAACTAGATACCCCATTGTGAAAAAGAGTGCTGACCGAGCAGGTGCTTGTGGGATTGTTTGAAGTGATCAGGGAATTCATAATGCTATGCCATATATTAAAGAGATTAAGATTCACGTTTACTCCAAACGGCAAACGTGAATTTGTACCACGTGACCAAGTCAGTGTACGTAGCGATCTCACACAAAGTTTTCAGCTTGTGTTCACAATCTTCACCTTCCTGACCAAACAACCATGGTGCAACGCAGTAGTGTTCCATTTCTTGTCTCTTCATCACTTTAGCCACACTTTCTTGAAAAAGTGGATCGACCTTTTTCCCTCCAGTGTCTACAAGAGGCCAGTTTTCTGAAAGTCAAGCACACCCTTGGAGCCGAAAGGGATCATAAGCGTGACATCGTAGACGGTGAAATTTGACAAGAGTTACCATGAAAATGATTTTCCTGCGTTTTTCTTGCTAAAGCCTCCCTTAAGCCCACAGTGAAATATTCTTTAACACCTGGCACGTGGTGAAGGTTTTCGATACACACTTTACAAGCTGCAATCGTGTCTGCAAATAACAGTTTGTAGCATTGTCGACATGACTCGATATTGCACGGCGGTTACGCGGTCAGATAATTCCAGTGCTTCGTTGGCCAAGACTTCAGTTGCTTTCAGTCACGAGCACGTTCGAAACTTTTTTTTGCATTGTTAAGCACTCGAGAAGATTCATCATCTAGGCCAGTAAGCGTAAGCTTTTTACTTCCTTTGCGAGAGAAAACGTTTCAGCATTAGCTGACCCATTTGCTGCTTCTGCAGTTGTTGCACTATAATCGTAAACAGCAACTCAATTCCTTCCTTAAAAAAGCTCAGCTGATGCTTGCTAACAAATCTTTTCTTGCTAAGCCATCCAACCTCGACTTTATTTCTTCGATTTCTCGAACGATCACGCCACGAAATTTTTGCTGTGTCACATCGCTGTCCCTCAGCCTCTCAGTTACTGTATCTTTTTCTTTATTCACGAGCAAGCTGATGGTGGCTATAAATACTGCTGCTATTTCGAGCTCATGCCTTACTCCAAGAGTGCGAGTGAAAATGACTAGCCAATCTTTCAATTAGATATATTCTGTTGAATCACAAGGTTATGAAATGAGACACAAGCCTGTACGCGTGCAGGTGTGTGAGGGAATGCACACGACACTTAAGTCTACTTCCGGAAATGGTTGAATGAGTCGTGATTTTGCACACACGTCGCAATAACGAAAGCGCAAAAACAATTTCAAGTACCTGCAACCAAAGCATGGTACTCTTCACGAAGATCCACTCTTTATCCTCATACCTCTCCAATTTTGTTGGTGCCTTCAGCTTCACACGTCAATTTAGCTGATTGCGACTACGGGACGACTAACCCAGGCAGCCCAGGCGTCCTGTATGTATGGAACCCCACCTTACGGCCACCTCGGTAACCTGGTCACCATGTTGTTCCTTTTTTCTTTCGGCCCGGCAAAACAAAAACGGATCTCTCGTTTCTGAGCGAATCCTCGCGCTGATTGGTCGAGAACTATGGTCTATGAGAGTATAGACTGTGGAAATGACGTAACATGTCGCGCAGTGAAAAATTCTCCGACTTTTCAGTGTTTATTAACAAAACCGCGTCCCAATCCTTTTTCAGTCTGGCCAACCGTTAGGGCTTTCCGTAAAATGCTCGGCAACTTTTTGGCAACGTCTTGTATTTCGAGCAAATTTTTGCATTCTGAGCAAATTCTCTTGTTATACTCTCATTCTGAGATGTCAGAGTAGCGATAGTTTAGTGCTTAAATTGGCCTTTCTTCCATATTTCACAATGTTTCCTGTAAAAAAGGAGCCAAATCCTCCCCCCTGGGGCAGATCATGGGAGCAAGATAAAAGTAGCCGGGCTGCTTGGTCAGTGGTTTTTAGAGAAAATTCAAAATGGTGGACGAAGATTCACACTCGACTGACTTGAGTGTCTTGGGTGAAGAAGGTCATTCAACAGTTTTATTGGCTCATCACATTTTTTGGTTTTAATTGAGGACAAAGTTATTTAGCAAATCTGGTTACGCCGCAAAATTGCACAAAAATACTTAGAAATCTTACTTTTGTTGAACAATTTCCATATTTTATCATCAGACCCAAAAAAATTTTCGTTTTTTCGAGCAACTTTTGAGCAACTTTCGTCACGAAAAGCAACTTTCAATTTTTTTTTGGAGCAATTTTTTGAGAAATTCCGGGAAACTTTTTGGAAAATCTCGAGCAACTTGTGGAAAGCCCTACCAACGGTGACCTATAAACACTTGTTATTGTGAACAGATTCAAGAGGGCACAACCTGGAAACGAGGTTTGGTGACGTATGGAGCACTTCTCCAAATTTGGCTGTAAAGCCCCTAAATTTTCTAATCTGAACGCGGACATATTGCTGGCGAAAACAGTTACGTCGAAATGGAAGCATCAGGAACGGATAGAATTATCGCCAGCATTTACGATAGTATAAAGTTACTTCTTGTTTCAGATGCCCTGCTTACTTTTCATATACCGTGATGTGTTGATTATTTCTACAATGGCCTTACTCTCGACGTCGGTAGTAAACACTCTCAAGCTCTTACAGTGATAGTCTTTCTCCGGTGTTAGCACTTCCGGTCCAAACAAAGTCAAGAGCCGTAATAGGACAGCCTTCCTATTATGGCTCTTGACAATGAAATTATATTGTGGAGCTGAATGAAAACGCAAATACTGTTGAGAAATAGCGCTAAAACGTGACTTTTCCGCAGGGCAGAAAAATGAACTAATAATTTTTTGAAAAAATAAAAGTACTACAAGCAATAAAATAATTTTTTAAAAAAAGTTGAACCGTGAACAAAGAATTATCACCCGCCAAAGGCTGTATTTACTTTTTGTTTTCTCTTTAAAAGGCATCAGCTAAATGCTTTTTTCTTTCTTTTTGTTTTATTTCATTTGTTGCGAGAGGAGAAGTAAGCCATTACCGTTAGTAAATGTAAAAAGCAAAAAAAAAAAAAAAAACTACAGTTCGACTACTCGAACCAGGGCACTTGGAAGAAGATTATACAATCACAACGTTTTTTGAAAACAAAAAATTCTCAAGGTTTTTTTTTGCAAACGAACCAAAAACGTTCATAATTTTTAGGGTGTTTCCTAAAAGGTCAGGTAAGTTCTAACGATTTCGAATATTTCAACAGTTTGATAGTTGAACCTTGAATTTTATTGGTCCGTTTGAAAAAAAAAATGAGAATCTTTTGTTTTCAAAAAACGTTGTGATTGGATAATCTTGTTCCAAGTGCCTTCGTTCGAGTAGTCGCACTGTAATTGACTTTGAAACAAGTAACAAAACTTTTGTAATGCATTTTTCAAAGTTGTTCAGGCGGCATGCCGACTTTTTGTTTTCTTCATGTAACGAGCGTTACATTTTCAGAAAAATGATCCCCTTTTAAAACTGCTTTCCAGAATTTTCGTTGACTTTTAAGTTTTATGCCATTTCTTGCACGAAAATCGCGTTTTTCATCCTCTAAATCCTCGACTAATCCCTCCAACATTAGCTGAAAATCATGAAACGTTTGTAGACATTTAAATGATGTTTATTCCCTATTGTTTGTTAATAGCATGCGCGTAATAAAGCTTTAAATGAACTCCGGAAATTAGCACAGAATGTATTCTTATCTTGATTCAATCGTGATTTACATAAAGCCAATGGGGAACGTGTCTTGAACATAAACAAATCGCCTGTTCTGTTTTCACGTTTCTCGCAATCTCTGATTATAAGAGAACTTTCAAGAAATCGTTTTGCGTTAAAAGTGTCGAACTCTTCTCCTTTTCATACACAACTTCTTCGTTTATTTTGACTAAAACCGCGTTTGTTTCCCGGGAACGCGCCATTATGGAAAACGTTTCACGATTGGTTGACCATGCAAATCGTGTGAAGTGGCGCCAGATCTCGTGTTATTGACATACAACGATACTACACTTCCCTTGATGAACAGCCAACCAGTGAACACGAAAAGTGTTGTCTTCGCACCCCTAAAACTTCCTCACCGCGGCATTTTGGCCCGCCAAATTTCCTGGACGCACAATGAGTCTATTTTCAAGATGCTGGCATCGGAATTTTATCTTGTTTGCCTTTGTCTTAATGTGTTTGGAAGAAAATGTTGCTCTACCAGCGAGTGAAAGCGAACGAAACGAAGCATCAACGGAATCAACGAAAACAAAAAGGAATGAAACAACTAACGCGACAGCTATAATTCCAACGACTCTTCCAGAAGACAGAAGCTTTGAGTTAAAACAGCCGAAACAAACTTCAGGTAATTCTCGCAGATGTTGTACAACACTCCAAAAACAGTCCGTGTTGATTGCATGTGCTCCACGCGGTTCAAAATTTTCATTCAATGACGCGTGTGAGTGTAATCCGTGAGAAATACTACGACACAGATGTGTTCATTCATGAGTTTTTGTATTTTCCATTTTTAGGTATTCTCAACCTCGTATGTGAAGGAATTCGAATTCGCAGATACATGTCGAATGGTTTTTGTACAAGTAGAAGACCATTCCGAGACATGATCTGCGACGGGAAATGCCTCGCAATGGATGAACTTCATCTCTTCCCGAAGTTTTCCAAAATTATCAGCAACCGCAAGCGAGAATGGCGCTGTGTAGCAGATGAAACTCGCACAAGAAAGGTGACTATGGTGTGCATAGACGGAACGAAGCACAAAAAACAAATTCGAGTGACCAGGTCTTGCAAATGCAAGCGGTATACAGACAAGCAGAATCAAACGAACCCTTGAGTTTTAAGCGCGCTCATCACAATAGAGAAAAAACTTTAAAAGTCATCCTAACAAAGATGAAGAACAATCATTCTTTTACTCTACAGCCTACGATTGTAACATATACCGTTTGTACAAAGTTTAATTGGGTTTGTATATTAAATGCGGTGCGGCAAGCGACTGAATTAGAAGAAGGCCTCAAGTTGTCCGATCCGTTTCGAAGTTGTACAAATGTTTTTGGTATCACGTCCTGTAACTTACCTACAGTCGATGATTTAACGGTTGTGTCGAAAGGTCGAGTAAAGCGACAGTTTTGTCTCGTTGGAAGTTCGTAAAATAGTCAAACACGTGTGAAACACATGGTATTCATCGAAGCTCGCAGGAAAAGTACTGCACGCCACAAGCTATCCAGAATTCTACGAGCTATATTCGATCTTAAATTGTTCATTTAGTTTGGGTTTATTGTTTGCCAGATGATGGCGGAAAACAGTACATGGTTTTGTTAAGTTATCTTTAATATACTGAAGTTTCAATCATGGCGTTATGTATTAAGATTTATAAAAAATATATATTACCAATAACTATACTATTCGAGAAGTATTGTAAGATACGTAGAGAAACGCATTCTCAGGGAACGTGCCTGTTGAATACAGCTCTTGCATGTAAATAATAAGCCCTGTGTTCAGTTAATGGATTCTAAAAGGAAACTATAGTAATAGTTATATCGAGTTCCATGGAACTTTTGTTCTTACATATGTGAGCAACAGTCCGTTTGTACATAACAGGCCCGAAATTTGGGCTAGCTTCCTAGATCGCAATATATAAATAAAGTTTATTAAACTCTAACAATGAGTCTTTCATGAAGGTCCGTAGTTTTTTATTCATCGCAGTAATATCGGCTTATTGTGCTGGCACAATACACAGGTTGGACAAATAAATCAGGGCAACTTTTGACGCGATTGGTTTACAAAAATAAAGAAAGACAGCCCTCAAAGATGACATAACAATGGCCTGTTCTCGGTTGAGCGAGTTCTAAGCCTCCAAAACAACAGCATGTATGTCTTCTCACATTTAGCCAATCTTTGTTTTAACCTCCAGGCGAAACTTGGAAAGTTTCATTAAAAGTTCTTTGCAACAACACTTTACCGTTTCACCCAGCTAAATGGTCCTCGTACGCCCGTTTCAAGGACTTAGAAAATGTGAGGTAACATATTAGACTTGTTTGACGTCAACAGAGTCAACTTTTACTATGCAGAAGTGGTTTTTGATTGGCAAGATCAATTTTTAGAGCCGAAGGAACGCGTCGTTAAGACAGTGAAGTACGTAGCGAAGTGTGTGTGGTAAGAGTGGCATTGTTATGCAGTCTGCGCACGTGGCGGGGGAGGGGTATTGTACAAAACAATGCCCATACACCTGGACATAGCGAACTTCTAATCCAGTGTATTAAAAAAAAGTAACCCGCTTTCACGCCCAATACTCAGCGATAATAGGCAAAACTTGGCACGTTTACAAACACGCCTTTGGATCACCATGGCGTAACATTGTTCAATTTTGGCGTTTATTCCGCAAAGGATGTATAACAATAACATTCTCTACATGCGGAATATTCAGCCCTCCAGTCTGCTTACGAAGTTGTCTTTAAATCATTCACCATAGTTTCCAGTGATTAATTAATTACATGTTCGTAGATCTTAGTGATATGTTGTTAAGTGGGTAGTCAAGGGCTTTCATAGATAAGCCAGGAGCATATTGCTCCAGACGCGGGCTCTAACGTGCAAGAAACTTGATTTTTTTTTCTCTCTCTCCCCTTTCTTGTGCTGATTCTTAATTGCTCTTCACACCATTGATCTCCGTAGACAGGTTTTATGGTGATTCATTTCGAGCTTCACACTTGAGAAAATTCTTCCCAGATTCTTCGCACTAAAGTTTTCAAGACGATCAAATTCAGTCAAATAGAAGACCAGTTTTGACATTTTTTTTCTTTCCGCTTTAGCCTGCCTGTTCGAAAAAATATAGCGATTAAAGCATGCTCTATTTACATGCTGTTTGTGTTTAAGTATGCACCTCCTAGCTAGACATGGTTTTGCTTCTTCTTGGTCTTAATTTTCGGCCATGAACCCTCACCAAAATTAAAGCAATAATCTCTCCCCTGTCCCTCCTACTTTCTTCTACTTCGCGTTTTGATCCACTCGAGATGACAGTTGTCTATAAAAAGCGGGATTATCAGAACTTATGTAAGTTCATTTTCACGCTTCGTGTCTTTGCTTAAGAGCCGTTAATATTGTTCCACTTTGAGCGAAAGTTGTACTGAGGGCGTTTTTCATCTCAATGTCAAGGTAATGAACTCTTTTCAGTTTCGTGCGCGACGACAAATCTGCTGAGAAATACGCTTTTACAATCGAAATGAGGCCCGACGACGTTTTTTGTGTTAAAAGGGTATCTTTCAAGCCAGTTTCAAAGGTAATTTTGTCGTTGATTTGAGCTATAACATAATTGTTAGGCTTAATGGTAACTGGCTAATAAATTTCTCGCCACTTTCAAAGGCCACCCTTGAGTCATTGTTACTCAAGCAACCAGGACAAACTTACCTGTAGTTTAATAGGGGGTTTCAATGGGGTTACTGAACTGTGTGCATATAACGACGATATTTTTTTTAGCCTGCCTAGGGGTTTATAGCGCGCAACTGCTTCTTTCGCGCGCGTTTGCTTCTTTGTATGGGTTGAAGAACCGCGAGAGGAATCGGGATGAGTATTTAACGCATTATACGAACCAACCATCGTAGTAAACGTATGTCGTTTTTCACAGCGAATACCGGTTTGTAGAAGCCAAATTGGCCTGAGCAGAAAATACCATGACATTCTCTAAACTACAGTTTAGGTAGTGACTCATGTAAACCTGACTTTTGCAGTTCTCTCTTGTTCTCTGCATGAAATGCATGTGCATTGTATGCAAATTTACGAAAAACTGATGTTGCACGTGCAAATCGTGCAAAGAACGAAAGATACTGCAAAACTCTCGGATATACCTCAAGCGACACCCAAACGGAAATTTTAAGAATATTATGGAATTTTCTGCTCCCGTTAATTCTGAACATTTTCCGGTAGCTGAATAACACAAAACGGTTTCGGATATTAGTTATTCCTTTTTTTTTCTTTGACTCGCAGACGTAAGATTGTACTCGGATCAAATATTTAGACAGAGGCAACCAGCCGTCCCTGATCGACGCAAACATTTTCCTTGAGTCAATTCGGCAAATAAACAAGAAGATTAGAAACAGTTCAGTATATGAACAAGGAGTGTCATAAGGTTCCCTGTCGTTTCCGGCTTAACCCTTACGTTCTGTGGAGGTCTTCCCGATGAAGAGGGGCTTACCCCGAAACGTCTGGGAACTTTGCTCATAAACAAAAATTATCTCAACACCTTTCTAAAGCGAAAGGACAAAAATGTTGCTAAGACATCTCTCTTTTGTGCATTAAGATATTTTGTTTATTTTTAGAAAAAAAATAGAAAGCATCTGTTATTAAGGATCTCCATAAAAACTTGCCAAAAATATAGCATTTTTGTTTGGAAAGTCATCCGCTCACATTGACACTGACTTATATTACTATTTACACGTTGATCCTGTACACTATTTGGCACCACTTTATGATAATCATTGCAGTTTGCAACAAAACAGCAGACAAAACAGTCGCACTTTGTACAATGTACTATGCAGATTTGGCCAAGCCTAAAAGCGAAGCTTCCGTTCTTATACTCATAATAAACGCACTAAACTTTTAAAACAAAACAAGATAAGCCATCACAAAGAAATCTGGAAATCTATACTTAACTTTAGGAGACCTTCATTTACCTTTTGACTCGTTTCTGGCAGGCAACGGCTCTGCAGTCTAGCTGTTTGGCATGAGTAAACTCAACATAATGAGGGCACGGCTACCCGAAGACGAAATAGGCGAATTACTGACTAAAACTGAACGTAACAAACGCAAGAGCACGCAAAAAATATTGCTGGATGAACGAAATCTACTTTTTGAGGAGTATTCGAAAGGAAAAGACATCTATTCCCACGTGAAACTGTACCGAGAAACAGCCGAATGTTTGAGGAGGTACGGCGGGTTTTAAGAACTTAGGAATATTTTGAATACAAAGTAGAACAACTATGCGGTTCCGCTTTCGTATGATATGAAGAATTATGCAGATCTCAGAGGCTGTAATCCATCTCGGCCGAACTCCCTCAACGATCTACATAATAGACCTTATTCAGGATGCCCGCCATCTTTGCACGCGCTTAGTGGTTTCTCAGGGGGCACACAAGTGATAAATTTTTCCAAAGAATTGGCACTCGAGTTTGTTTATTCTTGACAACAGAAAATGAACAACTTTTTATATTAAAGACAATATTGGCAAATTATGGGTGGAGGTGACCATTATTACTTTTTTAACGCAGTAACGACCGTAGATGTCCTCACAGCAAGAGACTCAATCCGTTCTGAGAGAATAAACAAAGTCGATCGCGATTTCTCGCATTGGCTAATTTTATCTTTTGTTTGCCCGTGCAAAGATGGCGGGTACCGTGATTAAGGTCTATTCTTCATTCCATCCTCAGTCTCCGAGCCTCAATAACTGCTAATCGTCATACTTTGCAAAAATATACAGGACGTCAACAGAATATAGCAAAGAAGTAAGTATCTTCATGCCCCCGGTAGGTAGTATAATGGCCTTTGCGGAGAAGCTCCGCCCGAAAGGGTTCCTTTTTCAGGCTTCAGGTATACGAAAGGGTGGGGATTTCACAAGTCTACATGAAAGGATAGGGACACCTGTCAACTGCGGCCCTTGAAAGGACTTACAGACACATCTTATAGCTGAAGACAGGAGAATTTCCTGGTTTGGTGATTTATTCGTATTCAAATGACGGTACATTTACAGGGATTCAGAGTTCTAAAATTGGTATGTGAAAGAGGTACCATTTGGTATTACTGAGGTAAAGAGGTATCTTTTTTGCCTAAAATGGTGTATAAAAGGGTGAGCGGTTGAACCTCGGGGCGAAGCCTTCTCGTATAAACTTTTCTTGAGTACCCCCCCCCCCCCGCCCCTGCCTCATGCCCTATGATACTGTAATTGTTTTGAACGAACTATTATTAGTTTGCGCAGCCCGGGCTGTGCTCCTATTTTTATTTCACTTTCGACCGCGCGGCGCAATCTTACAGAGACTGCACCGCGCAAATCTCGAGTAGTTGATTTTGTTTCCCGAGAACCTCAATAAGTGTTTAATATTCGATGTTTTGAGTGTTGCGACCGGAAGAGCTGATAGAAATCACCGCCTGCTACTGTAAGAACTTAAAAGTGTTTATTCTTGAACCAGAAGTGGAGCATTTCAAGAAATAAACTGGTCGTCACGACACGAAAAAGGCAAGCAAGAAAGAAAGGCACAACAAATGCTAACTTTGTTCAGTGTGGCAGTGAAGACCGTTGGAAATTCAGTTTTCAAGTAGCTTCCGATACGAAAGTGAAAAGAAAAGGCAAAACAAAGCAAATATTTCCGTCGCAAGGGCCAATTATGAAAGCGCACGATGATGATGCGTCTGAATCATGCTGTGGTGTGACTGTACTAATCGATGAAACATCTTCTGAAGTACCTTCACACGATTCTATTTAATGTAGCGTACACGGTCTGTAGTTGTAACTTTTGAGTCTGGATGAAGTCTTGGGATGTGACCATTCAAATGAAACCTTTTCAGATGAAGATTTTCATGGTACTATTTCTTATTCAGGTTTTTAAAAATGACATTATTCTATAGAATTTTTGCAGGTAGTGACAGGATTTAAGTGAGACTTGAATTTAAACACCTGTATTTCACACTAAGCGGTGAACTTCAGAGGACCAATACATATGATTGCTTTTAGTAACCCAGCATAAACCCTTAATCACGGAACTTCAAGAGAAGCCCATATTTACAGGAAAGTGTCATTATGGCGCAATTAATCTAGAATTTTAGCTTATCGCGCTTTACGCCAAGTTTAAATGGGCTATAGCTATGACACGACGATATTGCTATTCTGGGTAAAGTCTCTGCTAAATTCATTGCTTAATGCCCATACCCATACACAAAAGACACCTGTAGAGTGACGACAGGAAACAGTTTCAGTGCCTAAATTTAGTCTTAAATAACAAAAGTGGACCATTATTTTTGGAATGCAATTGATGCAAAGACGCGTTTTAGCTTTTTAAAAAGATGGCAGATAGCGTGTCATAACCCCTTTAAGCACATCACTAACACACATGAACACCAAGCGTCCAATATCGCGAACAGATGAAAGATAGGACACTACTAACAGGCAAAAGAAAACCGGGAGGGGTGGGTGGGAGTGAAGGCCTGACTCAAACTGTCGCCGAACTCATCAAAGGTGACTGTATGGTGGCATGTTTAAGCTCTACGGAGCTTTTGACATGTTATGCTCACTTTTTTCAGTTATGATAGGTCCTTTACACTGTAGAAACAATCAAAATCCAAGACGTTTTGAGGTCGGACTGATGCGTATGAAAGGTTTCTTGAAACTGCACGACTTCGCTTCCAAAACCGGGTTTGTTTAAGACCCAGATAAATGATCAAACCAAACATTTCCCCCCAACATTGTGCTTCCCATGTTTACTCAAGATGAAATATTTTTACCCAAAAATGTGCGTACCATCTCTGCCAGTACAGCAAGCCCAAGCGGGAAAAATTAACCAATCATAAAGCGACTACTCGCCATTCGCCACTTTAGGGAACTGGAGCCGAAAAGCGTCCCGCAATTGTTTCTGGGATCGTTACTGCGGACGCTCGGCCCATTCTTCCCCGTCTCTAGTAACAGTCCCAGAAGTCTTAGCGAAATTTAACTCGGTCCAGTTTACTTGGCGCTTTTAAAGTGGCGAATAATTTGTATAGGTAATATCATGATTTGTAGTGATATTTGGCATAAATACCACGAGTGATATTTCAAAATTGTTATACGAAATTTCACGAGCCGTTAGGCGAGTGAAATTTGAGACAATTTTGAAATATCACAAGTGGTATTTATGCCAAATATCACGTACAAATCATGCTATTATTTGTTTATACTACTACCCGCAAAAGGTTTGTAATTTTCACATGTAGGTATTTCAAATTCAGCTGAAATACCACTGCTCTAAGCCAATCAAATTGCAGAAATTTTTCATGTAGTAGTATAACAGCTGTAATACGCACAAAGCTGCATGTAGGCTCAACTTGTTCGAAGCTTTGTCCAACTTTGTTTGCTCGTTCAGTTTATACTCCATGTTGCGTGTGACAAACATGTTGGACAAAAATACGAGCAAAATGATTCAAAATACAAATTGGAGCACTCGAGAGTTGAACAGGGCCAGTTTAAAATGACCACAACTGAAAAAACAACGCACGACTACCAATGGCAACATTTACTTGTTCAAGAATCCTAGAAATTAACAAATTCACGAGAACATGCTTCCCGTGTGTAAAAACTAGCAAAAATACATAAATATTACACGAAGATACCACAATAAAGGAGCAAAGAGGAGTAGCTTAGCAACAGGTCATATCTCAAGCCGCGATGCGAAGAGACAATCCACGGTTGGCGCCCACAGAATGTCGTTTACCAAATCAATAGAAGTAACCAGTTCCTTTGTTTTGACAAGTTGTAACTTCACTGCACATTTTAATCGCGTTCCGATTGTCTGATCAGCCGCTCTCAGTAAAAAAGGAAGTAATACTATGTATATATAATTTTTTATCTTCGTGCGGTTCGTTCAATTTGGAAGCAGCTGCTGATTTCAAATCCCATCCCGTCCTGCAAGCAGTTTGGTCAGCGGCTGGCGGCTGCTCTTACGCCAAGTAAGCGTAAGTGTCTTTCTCTCCCTCCACTCGCTCAAGATATTCTTTTTCGATTAAGATATCAATACATTTCTGAAGAATAAAACCAATCAAAAGAAGAGTCAATAAGTATCACGCGACGGGTCATTGAAATAACGCACCCCGTGCACTGCACTGCACTCCACAAAACCGGATCACAAAGGCAATGTGCACACGAGTAGCATTCACGTTTGTGAACACATACAAGGTAACAAAAGCAACGGGGACGGCGACGGCAACGAAAACATCAAAAAACAGAAATTTTGCACGTGCAGCACACTTTGTGGTACATTAATTTGCCGTCAATGCACGAACACGTCGTAAAATTTCCTTATCCGAGGTCTTCTGGAAAACGTAAACACACGACGGAGAATTTTTTTTCTTTTTCTAAATTTGTCATTTTCAGCGAATCGGAATAATTAATGTAACAGAGTTTGAAAAAACGCGAATTCATTTTGTGACATTTTTGTTGCCGTCGCCGTCACCGTCGTCGATGCTAAAGCTCCCTATTCACATTTACGGCTTCTGTCCAAAAAGGACCGATACAAACGGATATTTTCGTCGATGGTCTTCAGAATAAGATCATAGTTAAATGAAATCGCAAAAAATATCGCTCAAATGTGGACAGCCGTAATACCTAAGCCTGTAAACGTTTACAGACTTCGACGGCACATGGCCTAAACGTCCCGAGGCTGCAATATTGCGCACAATTACTAAATCGCATCGTGTGTCCACTGCTGATAATGTTTTGCGTTATGTTGCTTTAGATTACAGGAAGTACAGGAAATAAATTCCACCTTATGTCCGACATCTATAACAATTTGTGTAATGGTGTGACTCAACTTTCAATCTTTAGCAAATCAGTACATTTGAATGAAGCCGCTGGTCCTACACATCCGTTCATTGATCGTTACGCAACGCTCCTTTACAAACAACGCCAGTGTAGGAGCCAATCTGCTGCTGCTCATTTCTTTTCAGTGTGCTAATATTTCTTCTACTCCTGAGTTTATAACTGTTTGGGAGATCAAGGCAATGTATTTTTTGTAAAAAAAAAAGGTCGTTGTTAGAAATATCGTGCGTCATACGCCTGCAAGCAGCTTAGCATGTTGAGCGTAATATTGACCGAAATGTGACTGCAACATATTGCACGCACTGTTCCTGTATCAATGTTCTTTCGTGTTTTGAACGAACGAACGAACGCACGCGCGCACGCACGCACGCAAGCGCACACGAATGATTGAATTGACAAAGCTGTACCTTAATGACAGGAACTCTAGGTTTGAATCTGCTTGACAGCTGTGATAGAACCTCGGCCACCAGAGGTTGGTGTTTTAACATCTTTCTCATTTTCATGATCCGCACGATCGCGGCCTGTAAAATCAACAAAGTGAAACTAAGCTTTAAGCTGACAGCTCAAAATAATGACACCATTCCAAGAGTTTTCCTCACCAAAAATCCTCGCTGAGTTCTCCTCTTGACAGCTTTAAGTTCTAACGCTGTAGCAAAATGCACGTTCCGGGACTGAGCCCTTAAGTAGTTTTTTTCAGTAGTCCACAGTCTGTTTGTCTAGCCTTCGCGGCAGCCGGACTTGTCACTGGAGACGTGCAGTAGATGGGGAACTATACTTATTGCGGATTTTGATTGTCTGCGACGCCCGGTAATAGTTATCAAATTTACTCTTACTGAAGACCTTTAGACTCGAGGACGAGATTTAACTCGAAACTTTTTCGCGTATTCTCAAAAAGTCAACACCCCGGAAAGCTTCATGGCGGTTTTTTTCACCAGAAAAGTTAGCACGGTCCTTTTTACTGAAGGAGGTTAAGCCCTCTCCCGAACGCAAACTGATGAAAACTGGTTTCCACAACTACGACATTTTCGTTAAAACTTGTAGTAGAATGACGACGGCTGTCATGTTTTCCCGCCAAAATGACGCTGGTTCAGGCGTGCGCAAAACTCAGTATAGAGAAAATCTCGTACTCGTAGTCGTTCTCGTCTTAGAATCTAAAGGTTTCTACTGTAAACAACAACAACAACAACAACAACAACGAAAAACCCTTTCAGGACTACTTAAGCATCTCACCTGTATAAGAAGTTTTCTGTCCTCTTCAATGTATTTATGTGTTTGTTCTTGCCCTTGTTTCTGCTCCATTTTCATCGGCACGTTGATATTTACTCTCAGTTTCTTACTGCACAGTAAATAAACAGGCCACAAGATCAGGAAATATAATATCCGCCGGGTTAGACAGCCAGCCATTTATTACGGAGAATAAGAACATGATTTACAACAAAAATAAAGTGTTTTGACTATTATGAAGCTCGGTTATTTGAAAGGTTTCAGAAAAAGCCGAGATAAAGTTTGCTAGGATCACCACTGACTAGTAAACCCAAGTTTTGGTCGGATACTTAACTTAAGAGCTGTTGCCCCTGGTTCGTTTCCCAGCCCAACCAACACTCAGGGTCTTAAACAACTGAGGACAAAGCCCTTCCTTTAGTGGTATCTACAAATAGTTAGTTTTTCTTTTAGGGATAGCGACGAATAACAGTAGGCCCGGTCTATAGAGTGCGAACAAGCCTTTCACTTTGGTTGGCAAGCAATGCGAGCGGCGAGAAAACGCGCGAACGTCCCCTTGCGCGTTCTGCTCACGCGTGGCTCCTCGCGATCCGGTCTCACATCACGCTCACTGTTCTGGCTATTGTGTGACTTCATACAATCTGGAAGTGACTACTACAAGTTTCTACTTAACTTTGTATCAACTGCTGATTATATTTGTAAACAAGCGAAAGAGATTTGTGTCCACTCACTTTTTGTATCCAAGGTAAAGACTAACTGAAGATTGTTGATCTAGGTTGGAGCCGTCTTCTGATGTACCGCAGACCTAATAGAAATACAAATAGTCACAGCTGGTTAGGGACAGTTTTTGGGCTGTTAATATTACTCTTCAGTCTTTTCTTCCATAAATCCTCGCTATACCTAATTTGTTCTTCAGTGGATAGGGTGTTACACGTAAATCCGCTGGCTGCAGGGTTTAAGTCAGTTTCTAACCTCTAGCTAGAGATGTTTTACGTAAGACCCGATCTGAAGCTTTCGACCAACCAGGATAAATAAAGGTAACATATGCAATCTTGATAAGTAGCAGTCGTAATTTCTCGCTTTTTCTCACAGTTTTTCCCCACTGAATAAAGCGTTTTCACTCACGTGGTCAGCAGCTTTGCAAATTTCTTGGAAAAACGGAAAGTTTTTACATGAGAAAAGACTTCAAACCCCAAAAGAATTCTTTTCGTACAACAACATGGCGGACGTGGCGTCTTGTGAAAACGCTCTTTAGGAGAATATTACATTACAAAATTATTTATGCGCTGCTTGATTCGGAATCCAAATTTTCCCCACTACTAAGTGGGGGGGGGGGTCATCTTACAGAACAATGACAGGGAAACAAGCTAGAATCTCTCCCCAACGGTCCAATTAAAGTTGGCATGATAAAACTGTTAAAAACGCAATAACTCACAAGAAGTTTCGACTTCAACAGGATTCCAAGAACTTGCGAAAGAATATCCTGCAAACAAGTTGCAAGAATATCGTAGGTGATTAAAGCTCAGGAGTATCGCAATATTAGGACAAAGAACTACACTAGCGATGAAACGGTGATTCGTGACGGTTATCATGAACCCATTACCAAAACGAGGCATGAGGGGAAAAGGGGGTGAGGTGGGAATACTAAAGGGGTGGGGAGTGGGAGAAATAAGCAACAATGCCAAAGAGATAAAGGGAAGAATCCAAGTAAAAAGGGGCGGTAGCCGGGAATGCAAGCGACGGGAGGTGGGAGGTTTGGACTCCCCTGCCCCACCCTATCTTAGGGAAGTGTCTGTCTCATAGAGGAACCTGTTATGAAATGCAAATACAAGCAAGTAACAACCAACACAGGACGCCCACCGTTTTAAGCTGTGTCTGCTCCTGAATCTGCTCCAGGGTGAGACTGTCAGAATTATTGAACATCAGAAGAACGCCCATTTGGTAGGTGGATGCCTAGAACGAAACAAACATTGACGCAAACCGTTTGCTTTCTTTTCTTTGAATTCCTAAGGTAATAGACCAGTTTTGTTATTTCAGACTTTATTTGGGCAATGACGCTGTTTCCTGTTGTATGTTGCAACAGATGGAAAGGATGGACATGAATTGAAAAAGTTTTAACGCTATATCTCCAAAAATCACCAAAAAATTATAATTATGGTTCGTTTTCCCTGATAAAGTTTGTTTGATATGTTCTTCATAACTTTACAGGAGCATTTTGTATATTGATAAAGGCACCAAGTAATGACTTCAGCACCGAATTGACGTAAAACAGCAATATTCTCATGAACAAAGCCTCTTTAGAACTCGAAACAACGAAAATATTAAGCAAAGATAATACCAGGTGAAACGACGACACAATAACATCAAGGCAAAAAGCCACGGTATCATTACTCACCTGGAGAGTATAGCGATTCTTGAAGCAGTTGGTCACCAATTCACCCTGAAGATAAAAAGAAAGCACGCAAGTTAATTAACAGAGCTTGTTGATTCTTTTCGCAACACTGTGGTGAAGTGTCTACACGCTGGGCTTAAGGGGTCAAAGTTGAAAGGTACAAGTTACTTCTCCACCTGCGGCAGCGACGATTCAACACGTATAGATTGAATCTACTTGTCTTTAAACGTGTGGGAAATTTACTTTCCAGTATTTTACATAGTTTTAGAGGAAGTGTATTGTTTACCTTGGACATGTGGTACAGCCAATGAAGTTTGCGACCACTGTGTTGACTGCTGTAAAATGTTGTGAAACGCTGATGACTTCTTTCCATCTAAAATAAAAACCAAAAGGCCCATTAGCGAGACATTTGAGGAGACTTTGTACTAAGACCTCCGGTCACAATATAAAATACCCCTTTAAATCAAAATTTTAGCGACAAAAATTGAGAAAATACACCCCGTTTAGGACACGTTGAAACTCATTTTCATACAAACTGACATCAAATTAGATTCCATTTCAATGCAGGGAGGCCAAAACCTCAACCGCGAAAAAAACACTTTACTCGTTTGGCAATGGTCATATGTAAGTTTTGATACTAGAAAGAACTATCAACTTAATTCCATCTAACTTTGAAATCTGTGGCCGAAATCCTGAGGTGTTACCATTCAAATGAAACCTCTTTAGCAGAACTTTTGCGCGGTGGTATTCATTTCGCAATTTGAATTATTTTCTTAGTGAATTTTTTTTAGGGGTGAAAGGGTTAAACAGTAAAAATATCTGTACCTCCGCTGGTAACGAGAATGGTGCTGATTGCTGAAAGGGCCAGGATCCTGAACTTAGAACCTGGATTGAAAAGTCCACTAAGACGAAACACAAAAGCAAAAAATTAAAGAGCAGCAGCAGTAGCAACGACAACAAAAGAAAATAGGGAAAATAATAACGGGCACAAGCTGAGAAAGAAGGACAACTCACAATCTAAGGCTCCCGTATTGGTTAGATGACTCTTGAATTTGTCGTTGAGATCTTTACTAACACCTATGTCTTGGAACATTCTTTGAAGTTTGGATGTGTACTCAAAACCACACGCTTGCTGTAAAGGAAGGAAAAAAAAAACACTCCGACCTTTAGCAGGGTCATCACAGGGTTCATACAAAAAATTGCAACCATTTTTCAAGGACTTTTCAAGGACCATATTAGATTTTCAAGGACAACCCACTAGGAATATAATTTCACAGACTGTACAAAAATGCATATTCTCAGTATATTCTAATAAGACTTTAACGCTTTAACTGTTTGCTTCACCAAATTCTCTACATTTTTCAGTTCACTTGTCTTAAACTGATAGTTAATTATTGCATAAAACATGGAGTACTTTATGTAAATGACCTTTACATTCACTGAGCTACGATTTATATTCTGTCTTGGACAACCAAAAAGCATCAAAAAATTCTTTCCAGGATACTACATTCAAAGTTGAAGAAAATTCAAGCTCTTTTCAAGGACTTGCACAGCAATTTAAGGACTTTTCAAGGACAAATGGAATTCAAGGACTCTTCAAGGACTTCCCCTAAAATTCAAGGACTTTTCAAGACTGTGCGAACCCTGCATCAATCAACAACAAAGACAACAAGACAAGTAAAAATGAAACAAATATCCTTATTTTTAAAACGCCACAAACGTCTATAACTAAAGATGACAAGAAATTGTAGAAACATGGCATCACCATATTGAAGTTAATCCAGGACAGTCTTGGATTCGGACTGCAGATACTGGTATCCGGATTTCTTATCAGTGGAACTTATATCGTGGATTCCAATGGTTAGCGGGATTCCAGACTCCTTGAGCTGGATTACGGATTCCAAAGCCTGGGATTCGCGATTCCAGAAGCAAAACGTTCACGGATTCTGGGTTCCAAAAGTAAAGAGTTCTCGGATTCCAGAATCCGGAATACTTATGGGCGAATGGCATGAATATAGGTTTTGCTCACTTGAAAATGTTGCATCTAATATTCTTTCATTTTACCTTTAGTTTAGATATCATGCTAGCTTCTGCATCATCTGATGCGGAGTTGTGTTGCACCAGTCTCTTTGCCAACATTTTGGAATAAAACTTCTGAAAGACATCTTTGTCTTCAATGTACTTGAACACAACCATCTGCACAAACAAAAAGATAAAACAACAATTAGAGGTGATAAAGAATCAACTCATAAAGAAATTATACAACGAGAGTCTACAGATTACAAATGACTCAAATATAGTCTGCGCAGCAAGCGCTTCCGTTTGGTTTCAGAGCAAGGAACGGGATTTTCGGTTTTGGCCGCGCGAGAAATGAAACGAGAGCCAAAAAATGAAAGAGGGGGGATGGGGAGGGGAAGGAAGGAAACGCTTGCAGACAAACCCCGGGATTTTGAAAACCTTCGCTCGCCAGCGAACGGAGCGCCTGATTAGTTCAGCTAGTCGAACAATGTACAGTCTGAGAGCCAAACAACAACACTAGGTTGTTTGTTTTCCCTTATCTTATGTTTCGGAAGCCCATTCTGCGCCAAAGCATTGAACGGAAGCCTGCCTACTGGTGGAGGATAAAACTGACAGATGAAGTGAAGATGACTTCAAGTTTCGTCCTTCCTGCGACAGTGTCAAAAGGACGTATACAAGTCGACCTTCACGCAACTCGATGACACAAAAAAGCTTCATAAGTGAATACTTCCTCCCTCCTTCTCCTCATGTTCCCTTCAAATAGTTTCTCCTTCCAGACTAAACCGAACCCATGTATGGAATTCAGAAAAAATTGAGCATGTGGAGCCTTCAATCCTGATAATATAAATTGACAAAGTTTCGTCCATTCGTTTGGACCTCTGGTAAAAATTCACCTTCAAAAATTAGGAGTGGTCCACGGAGGGAGTCCATGGACCGGGTCCAGAAAGAGGTTCATGGACTAGGTCCACAGTGGTGGCCCATGGACCGGGGGTCCATGTTTTGTATACGTCCGTTCCAAAAATATACCCCAAGTTGAACGAGGGTAAAAAAGAAATAAATGTAAACAATAAGCCGCTTTGTAGAGGTCTGTTACTTTCATTTGCTCAAAGGAACAAAGTTAGGGCCTGAAAATGTCATAAACAGTTCGCTGCATCTCTTTACATCGTAAACGTAAGGACGAGGCGATAGTAATTACCGGCAGCATTTGTCGCAAAACTTTCAGCGAACTTGATCAAGTACTTACCACTGAATTAAGAATGTCTTCTAGTTCAGCTTCCCCTGGATTCTTTGAGCTTAAATAACATCGAAAAGTAACAATAAACACATTTTACCCGCAACCCTTGCACACCCACGGAGGCAGACAAAAATTTGAACTGCCCCTAGACTTTGAGACACGGCACAATAATGTACCCTAGCAGAATGTGAAAAATTATCTCAAGACCAAGCATACCAAACATTTAGCTGCCACAAAGATCAAAAACCATTTATTCGTATATTGAATCTGTATTTAACCTATATTTAAGATTTTTCTTAAAATGGAAAAGGACGCAAATAAAAATTGAAACACTACTTTACATGTGTGCAAGTTGAAAACAGTCTCATGCAGTCTCTTCCTTTCACCATCTTTGACTTCAACTATATATTTTTTACCCTGGTCAATATCTGCGTGTTATAGTTTGGTGCACCATTTATGGTGTGCTAGAAGGTTTCCGACACATTAATAAAGACATTTGAGAGGTTAAGCATCACGTTTACGTCAAATGGCAAACGCGAATTTATACCATGTGACCAAGCTTCCTCTTTACTTGTGGTTTACTGTTCATTATTTCTACAACTTAATTAGTTGTTTCACGCAATTTTTTATCCATAAGAATTGTTTTGAGCTGTTTTTATCTGCTCATTTTCTATTTGGAGAAATTCTCAACTAAAGTCTGACGCTTCCGTTTGCGTATACGTGAAGCTTAAACTCTCTATTAACCCTTTAAGTCCCAATAGTGACCAACAACAATTTTCTCCTAACAATATCCATATGTTACCGAGTGAAATGGTTATGAGAGTTAATAAAATGATCACCTAAGAGAAAATGCTTTGATCTTCTACCAAATTCTCTCAACTTATTCCTTAAGGAAATGTATAGAGATGAGTTTGGAGAATTTGTATGTGGATATTGGGGCTTAAAGAGTTAACTGATTTATTTTATTTATTTTTATTTTATTTTATTTGCCACACTAATTACAAAAAATATAGGAAAAGAAGAAGAAGAAAAAAAAAAAGAAGTGGCGAGGAGACCTAACAGAAACTATAGGAGCTTATGAGAGGTTAGGCCTCCTCGAACTATGAGCTAGAGCTGTTTCACATCAATTGAAGAGAAGAAGGCGAAAAGTCGAAGATGGAAAGATTTATAAACTGTTTTCATACTTACTCAATTGATGGATGGATAGATGGATTGAAATGAATGAATGATTGATGGATAGATGGATTGAAATGGCCGAGCCTTACAGTACCCTGGGATAAGAAGATGAAATTTTCTATATTGAAAATTTAAGCACACCTTTTCTTAAGCAAGGAATCACAGTATCTTGCTAGTAATTCTGGAGACTTTGAAGAACTTTGTGCTTGTTTAGTGACAAAGTTATTATTTATGAACTTGCCACAAGCCTGTAAAAATACAGAATAAACATAATTATTTTAATAAAAGACAACAGATTCAGCTAGTTTAAACCATCCTTTTAAATGGGAATTATCTGGATGGACATGTGAACAATATTGCACTGGTTGTTTTGTAGCCAAAAAGCAAACTGACCTTGTCTAAAGCAGCTACAAATCCTGCATCATTGTTGAAAGCCGTCAGAACCAGAGCATTGTACTTGTGATGAACTTCTAGTATTGTTTCCACATACACCTTAGGGTCCTGGAGGATTACATAAACACGGCATTTACCAGTTGTGATGTTGTATTGAAATGTTGAGTAGCAGAGTATTCACCTCTCTAATCATCATCATCACCATCATTAACACTACAATAATAATAATAATAATAATAATAAATTATTATTATTATTATTATTATCATTTTTAATATTATGAAATGCTTCAACCCAGGAGTCATTTCATAAGTAGGTTGAGCATAATCGTCCAGGTGAACGTAGTCCTGAATAGGACTGTTGTTGTTTACAGTGACTGATGTTTCAACAACCTGTGTGGTAGTCACCTTCAGAGTCTAAGTGAGTTGCATCATGTCAGTTGATGGTATTATACTCTGGTTATTGCCTTGATTGGTCAATTAAGTCATGATGTTATTGGTTGTCTGTAAGTTAAACTGTGATTTTATTGGCCATGAAGAGTCGAAATCAAATTGGTGCGTTCTGATCCATCTTTTTTTTCACCTCAAAATTACTGTCTGCAGAGACTTGATGGTAATAAACCTTTTTACCGATACGGCGGCCATATTGAATTAATTCGATTTAAGGATTATTATAGGATGCCCAGGGGGGCATGAGCACATTTCGTCTGTATTTTCAAGCGCTTTTCGGGACATTTTTTCTTAAAGTTTTCTTAGAATAAGATTGTAATGGGAAAAAGATCCGTGTACTGTGTTTGGATGTAATAATGATCGCCTTTTTCTAGTTTAGTATTAGAAACATAATCTTTCACTGTATATTAAAATTTCTCGGGAAAAAGGCGATGATTATTACATCCAAACATGGCACAAAGATCTTTTTTCCCATTACAAACTTATTCTAAGAAAACTTTAAGAAAAAATGTCCCGCAAGGCGCTTGAAAATACAAACGAAATGTGCTCATGCCCCCTGGGCATCCTATAATACTCCTTAAATCGAATTAATTCAATATGGCCGCCGTATTGGTAAAAAGGTCTATTCTCTAAAGTTAATATACATGTTACTGTAAATGGTAATTACAAAAATACAGTAGCACAATATTGAATATACACTAACATTGAAAGCTTGATCTCCACATTTTTCTAATGCATTAAGTCCCTGACTTGTGATGTGGTTTTCTAATAGCGTTCGAAGCTGCCCTAATCCATCAGGTATCCTGGCAACTAAGTTGTACATGCGTCCAAGATCTAAAAATAACCATAAAACAGACCAATCAGAGACAATAGAGATATATTTTAGCCATGAATTTAAAAAGTAACGCTTTTCCAAATACATAGACTGTGTACAGTTGTCTCCTTTTTCCTTTGTTGCTAATGGTTACCAAAACCTTTCAAAACAAAATTTTACAGTACACTAGCAATTTGAAATCAAACCTTTGCATTCCCTTATCCTTCTGTAAGAAATTAGCCTGAAAAGGTGTCATTACTGGACCCAACCCACAGATAGCATTGAAAAATTAACCACAGTGTTTAAACCAATCCCTTGTTGTAAAAATGGGCAGCTAAGTCCTACCTCTTATGGGAGACCAGCACGAGTAACACAAATAAAACTAGAAATGCTATGCTATCTCTTGAAAGCTGTTACAACTCTCTTGAGAAGCCCAGATTAACACAACAGATTAAAATAAATAGTATTTAGAGTTCGTTTCCACAAACCTTCAATTTTGTCATCATCTAAAAGGTTTTGGAATTCAGCATAGACGATGTCTAAATGTTTCTCAATCAGAACTTGCTCACATTTTCTGGCAAGCTAAAAAGAGGAATTAAGATCAACCAGATTGACTTTGACATTGCATGATCAAAAAAACAATACATGCACAAATTCATAACAGTGGTTAATGTAGTTTTCTGAGTAACCTTCTGGTGACCTGCATATCCAAACGGATAACATACCTCATCTTGTGTACTTTCATGTAAATAGACTTGAACTCTTCTTTGTTCTTCTAACAAACGAGCTTCAACCTAACAAAAAATCGTTAGATACTTTAATTTTCTGAAATACAGAGTCATCAACAAAATCAATCAGGTTTACATCAATGACATGAACTATAATTAATATCTGGCCACCTATGATACACTTTATTAAAAACTGAATCTTTGGATAATGCAATTCTAGAGCTCTGATTGGCTTAGCCATCATGGTATATGAGCCACTTTACCATGCTCTCCAAATATGGTAACTGTACGTGTCTGCTCAAAACAGGCTGAAAATCGGCTGTTTTTACAAATAAAGTCGGGAAGAATTTTCAATACTTTGCGGGCATTTTTAATAAAACAATTGTTATTCTACTCACACTTGTTGGATATGAGATGATTATATGGCCAACTTGGTTGTCTGGCTCCAAAAGTTTAATAACATACTATAGTAGCCTTTAGTTTTTAATCTTTCCTTTAAATTGGGTTATAACTATATTTTTATGTGCTTTTGATGATATTGATATCAAATTAGTGACATTTAGCAGGATGGTATGCAAGTGTAAGGAAGGGTGATTGGTATGATTCAGAAAAACAGGAATAGTCAAATCTGGGCTTGAGACCTCAGCTTTATTTTGCCATATCCAAGTCTGGGAGAAATTCGTGGATAAATCAAGGACTCGTGGCAAAAGTCAAGGACTTTTCAAAGATTTATTGCATTCAAGGACATTTCCAGGACTCCTGCTAAAATTTAGGGACTTTTTACTCTATATTGTAAACATGATAAATAGGAAAACATTATCATACCTTTTTCATATACTCTGTAACAGGGTTTTCTCTTAGAAATTCTGTACTCTCTGTAGTGTAAAATCTTTCTGTATCATCTAAAAATACTGACTCAAAAGATGATTTGTAAACGTTTAAGGTGGGCCCTTTGGCAGAGGGATCATCCTCATTAAGGCCAAGTTCAACTGTGAAAATAAAAACAAACAGACAAAAAATTTGTACTTGTACTATTCATCAAATTATATTGTTAAAACGAAATACAGAAGAAACTGGAGATCATGCAACCACAATCCAAGGGTGCATAAAAAATGACCCTAAGTGACTGTAATCAATTTTATTGTCCAATTCTCTGACTATTTTACAAGCATTATACTACTACATGAGAAATTTCTGCAATTTGATTGGCTTAGAGCAGTGGTATTTCAGCTTAATTTGAGATACCTACATGTGAAAATTACAAACCTTTTGTGGGTAGTAGTATAAACAAATAATAGCATGATTTGTACGTGATATTTGGCATAAATACCACTGGTAATATTTCAAAATTGTCTCAAATTTCACTTGCCTAACGGCTCGTGAAATTACATATAACAATTTCGAAATATCACTCGTGGTATTTATGTCAAATATCACTACAAATCATGCTATTACCTTTACAAATACAACATAATTTGGAAGGGAAATGTGGAAGTTTATCAGGTCACTTAAAGCTCTTATTTTTCCGAGAACCTCTTCAAATACTTGAAGAACAGTTAATTGTCGTTGAATAGTGCATGATATTCTAAGGATGACTAATTGTTTTCTTAATTGACAATTATTTTGAGTTAGAACAACCCACAGAGCAGACACACATGTATGATATTACAGTGAAACCTGTATATAATGGCCGTGTATATAGCAGTCACCCTGTATATAACGGTTACCTTGCCATTTCCCAAGCATGACCACTATTCACAGGTTAACCGTTTGACTGTACATGTATGTGCATTACTTTCCTTGCTCAGTAAGAGATTTTGCCTGCATTTTTAACATTTATTTCAGCAGTCTTGCAGTCACAGCCGTCTTACAGTTTAACACCTAATTTTCAACACAAGGATGTAGCTAAGGAAAATCTAAGCAGGCTTTTTTATTTGTCAAGCTGGATTTTTCTCCAACTTCACTCTCAAAATTGCCCATGTGTTGGGTTTCCTAGAGCAATTTGAGGCAGTGATAAGCTCTATTCAGCCAGTGAAATTACATGTAGCTGACAGCTGGCTATTAGCGACATCCCTGCAAACATATATGATAGGACGTGACTTTTGCAATTCCATAGTACAGTGGAACTTCATATAACAAAGGCCCAAGGGACTGTCAAAATTTGTTTGCTATAATGAGGTTTATTGAGGTTCCACTGTATTTTGATCACATACCATAACACTGTATTACTCCACTGACGAGTCTGGTGTTGATTATTTCACCATTTCTTTCTCTCTCAATTAACCGCAACACAGCATTTGTCACCTGCAAAAAAAAAAATGAAATTGGAAAAAACAACATGATAACCACATTTACAGGCAAGTATCTAGTCAAACCACTTTACATGTATATTTGCCTCTCCTTCTGATTAGGTATACATTCAAAAAAAGCAATAATCTCTGTTTCCAGATAAAAAGATAATTCATGAATATAAATAGTCCATGCATTGCATTTAATACAATATGCATTATTGAAAGTTTATCTGCAAATAGCGCTTTTAGATTTTTTTGTTGTTTTTCCTTCTATCATTGCTGTTGCTAATAATACAAAGGACTGAATGGAAGGTAACAAAGACCTCTGAAGCTGACTCTTGTCATGTTCTTAAGTCATTCTTGTGAAACAAAACAACCGTATAGGAAGAGTACGTAATTGTAGCACTGTGTTATTTGCAGATGAATAGCTTGATAAAAGCACCAGGGATATGAAATACATGCATGCACTGTACTGATGAGCTAAAAAATTTAATCAAGACAGTAGTTCTCTTAGAACGATAGTTATAGTACCTGTCTATTAAGAGGTCTAAACAAATTCTCCCTCCAGGTCACTAAAGCAAGCTGCAAAAACAACAACGTTTACGTCAACACTGCTACAGTAGATCCCCCGACACAATAATTCTCATAATGGTTTTATACAAACCAATACATTTAATTATTACATCAATAACAACAGGAAGCACCAACTCACATAGTAAATTTCATATATGCCCTTCCTTCCTTCATCACACTCTCGTCGCACCCAGTGTCGATTTAGATATGCATAAACCCCATTCAAAACCTTGCTTGAAAACCTGTAATACTCCCAGCGCTGGGTATAGAACTTCAGCACTGATTCATCCATAAGGTCTGAACCATCCTGAGATGAAAATTAAATGTAAGAGCAATAAAGTTTTTAAATTTTATTTTTTAGACCTTTTTAGCTTGTACGTTTTATTTTCCAATTCAAGCCACTGATGTTCTCAAGGGAATTTGACTAATTTTGTCTCTTTATTTGTTAATTGCACTAATATGCATGTGGAAAGTGTGAAATTATTGAAAGAAAAAATGTTTTTGATCAACATTCCTTCTAACCAAAGAGTTCCTCAGGCTGGGGGCAGTGTGGTCATTTAATATTGATTTTATACAACATTGACTTTGCACAGCGCCATCTATCATTAAGTGTTTGCCAAGAAAAGAGAGTCAATTAAGTCTGCAGAGCGAATATCATAACTGGCACCTGTGAGAATTCTAGCAGCACGTGCCTGGAATCTTTACAACTTATCTTTCAATAATCTGTTGTAGGTGTCCCACAAAAGAGAAAAATACTTAAAATATGGCTGAACTAAGTCATTATAAACTGACACACTCTGTTTATATATAAAATTACGGGTCTTAACAACAAGTGGTTTAAACGCAACTTATGTGTGTAATGTGCATGAGTAATTTAAAGCCTGGCCAGGCATACCACAAGTGAGTTTACTTACCATTTGCATGCCTGTGAGGTAAGCTGTGACAAGTTCCTTTAGTCTTTTGTACAATTCATGACCAACAAATTGAGCCCCTGTAAAGTAAGGTAAAGTGACTGAGTCAATAGTTAGCTTAAACTTTGGACTACAGTCAAACCTCGTTGATACGGACACCAAAGGGACAGAACCAAGTGTCCGCTTTACAGAGGTGTCCATATTATAGAGATAGGAAATGTATGATTTTTGGCTTTTCTGCGACCAAAGGAACTGTCCGCAATAGAGAGGTGTCCGTATTATAGAGGTGTCCGTAAGGAGAGGTTAGACTGTCCCTCACAGTAAATGTAATAACAACTCTAAGGAGGCAGTTAAAGATGGGAGCTACATTGTAGAATTGATAATAATGTGGTGGTGTAGTTTTATCTTTGGTTTAAAATCAATTTTATATTCCCTTGTTTTAAGGGGTAAGGTAATGTATGATAATGTGTTTGAAAAAAAGGTAGACTGTGAGCAGTCTCTTATTTTTCTTTGCAAAGTTACTCCATGCGATACCTAAGCACGCGAGTGACGAAGCCGCGAACCATGAGAAACGAGGGCATAAGCCCGAGAAGAAAAAATAAGAGACTGCTGACTCTTTTGTTCTGTCTGGGGACAACGAAGCTGTCAAGGTAATATAATTAATCAATTACACCGAGTAACTTGAAACGATTTATAACTAGAACATAAACAACTGAAAAAATTACACTTTCTTTAAATCTGGTAGGATTGCCTTGAGTTCACTTCTCTTGAGGAAATTTACAGCAGTTTCCTTCTGCAAGATATCCTTAAAAGTTTTATTACTGAGATTACTGCTTGGTTCGCTATTGTTTGCAGTTGGTTGTGATGCATGACTATATTTATTGCTTGCAATTTCACCACAGACCAGTTAATGCTCTGTCAACAGCTGTGCAATTGACCAATCGGTTACTCCGTTTCTGGGCTGACCGAGGGTTTGTTTACTACAAAAGAGTCAGCAGTCCGTCTTTTCTCGCTCGTCTCAATTGTAATAATAATGTCGTGGTTTGCAATCGCGCTGGATGAGATAAGAACTAGATGGATTTTAAGAGAAACGACGGACTGCAAGCAGTCTAAAAAAAAGGAAACCAGTTTTGCAGAATCACAGATCACACATTCAGATTTGATGTGGCATTATAGCTTTGAAATGAGAGTGTTTGGAGAAGATGTGTTGCCATCTTGGAAATAAAATGGGAGTATATTTCTACCCAACAAGCCTTTATTATTAAGCTGTAATGCCATTCCAAACTCAACATTAGCTAAACTATTTTTAGAGGACTTAGGTTGTTCTATAAAAGCAAGAGAAAACTTTTCACTGTGGATAGCCTAAATATAAATGTTATACACCTAAGGTAAAAACCAAATTCAGATTATAGGTTTTTAACCTGGAATGATTCTCAATTTCCTTGTTTCAGAATAAACCTAAACTGCTTATGACCAGCCTTGACAATCACTGAAAGCAACACGTTTAAACAAGAACACTGTACAAGCAGCCTGTGGTAAAACCGCTGACACTGCAACTTGATCTTAAGGTTAGAGATACCCAATTAAAGTTTATTGAGCGGCTGTCAATTCGTTTATGATTTTTTAATGTGAGAGTCTGAAACAGCTCTTGAAAGCTAAAACTCAATGTGATGTTTGTTTTTCACTTATCTGATTATTCTAGTCTTTTGGAAGTCAGAGAGCTAAAAAAATGTGTCGCGGTGAGACACCCTGGGCCAAGTTGTTCAAAGCTGGGTTAAGATAACCCAGGGTTAGTGTGAGATTTGAATTCATATATGAAAGCTTAAAAGGCATTTCAGTTTTAATTCTTTTTGTCTACAAGTTGATGATTGGAAACTCTACAAATAACAGAGAAAATTATCAGAGAAAATGCTTTTGAACACAAGAGGGTTAAGCACTAATCGGCCTTCAAACAACTGGGCCCTGGAAGGTATATAGCGGTAACCTTAACACAACAAATTATTGCAGAAAATTTTGCACAATTGCATTGACAATACTCACCTCCACGAACTCTTGACTGAGACTGCTGATGAACACTAGTCAAGCAATTATATACATGTCTAGAAACCGTCAAGGAACATAAAGACAATATAACCTAGCCAATGGAGGGACATATGTATAGGAGACTAAAAAAAATCACAAAGCCCTTAAAATAGAGGTTCAAAACTGCACAGAAGGGAATTTTGACCCCAGTTTTTTTAACCACAAGGCGGTCAAGATGCAAGCTGCCATGTTGTTTCCATGATTTGTTGTTTCTCAACTTAGCAATATCAAATTCTTTTATCTCTGAAACCCATGCTTTATCTAGCCCTTGAAAAAAGCTCTTTAGCAGCTTCTTTGTTACCTAATGGAAGGAAATTAAAATTCTGGTCATCAGCTCTCAATTTCTAGCTGTATGTCAACCAGCTGGTTGTGATTTCTGACCCTGTAAATTGTTGAATTCTAAGAAAGTCAAACCATGTTAAAAAGAATGGGTGACTTGCATTATTGTGTTCCTGCAAAATTCTATAGCAAAGCCAGCCTCTTTTTCTTTTCTCTGCCTGGTTTCATGACAACAGATATGTCATTTACATGAATAAACACAAGTCTGGATTATTTGCTTACAGTGCCAAAAACAAATAAAACATTAGAGCTGTAAGATAGTTTTAAGTTAATCTAAAATGAAGAAATTGGCTTTAAATTTTATCACACTGTAGTCTTAAAAAATCACAGCTGCATCAGTTTAAGCTTGTACTTCCTCTTTTTAGGAACATTCTTTTTTGCTTTAAACTGAAAATTGGATATATATGAAAGCAAAATCTGAAACTTCTTTCATGTTGGTCAAAACTGAAAAGCCAATGCAAAAAAAAGTGAAAATGGAAGCCAAAAAAGACAAAAAAAACAAAAAAAGGATTCAAGACTTTCTCTGTGAAAAGCAAAAGACTACTGATACCCCCCAAAATAATTATACATAACATAAAACAACACTGATAAAAGAAAAAATCCGTTAAAACACATCTGACTTTGTAAAGTTGTCAGGGATCTTGAATTTAGATGATTTTGCACACCTTGGTAAAATACCATTCTCTAATACAGTTCTTCAATGCCATCGTTTCAACCAAAATGTTCCCTCCATCCTGAAATTTGGACCCCAAAGATAAGTCTTAAAAAATCCTGTTGTAATCAAATAAATGTTATTTTTGTATCATCAAAAAAGTCTTAAAAAATCCCCATTGTTTGGTCCTTAAGGGCCTAGTGCAAAAAAGCCAGATAGGAAAAGTGGTATGGTCACACAGGGCTCAAAGTTAACAACTAACTGGTCACATATGTGACAGGAGTTTTGGTTGCGCTCCTAAAAAATCATGTGTAATAAATATTTATTGCACCTGTGCACCACAAAATCCAAAGCACAGTACGATTGACTTGCTTCACTGCTTCCTAGCTTGAACATACTTATGCACTCGAACTAGTAAGATGTTAATTAAACAGTAACTTCACGCAATGAAAGTAAAAGTAATGTAGAAATACCACAACCAGGCTCTAAATAATAAAGTTACATTAGGGCCATTTATACGAGGAAAAATAAGACGCAAACTTTCCGTATAAATGGCACATTTCGTCTAAAATAAGACACTGCTTAGCTAAGACGCGTCTTATTAGATAAGACATGCTCGTATAAATGGTACAGTTCGCGTCTTATTTTTCCTTGTATAAATGGCCCTATTGTTTTCATTTCATCTGGGTATGCTTAATTCATTCTTTCTCCCGACGGATTCCACGAGCTCAAATTTGATGTTTTACTCCATCCCAGACTCTTCTGGTTTATAATAAATGCTGGTGACACATGCAAATACATGTATGCTACGGACGAACACATGCTTCTTGGGAAATGATCGTTCTAAGGTCAAGAGTGTCAAGCATATCAAAACAAAAACAGTACGGATTAAGAGCATTTTTTTTCTTCCAGTTAAGAAAGTTTTTAAGTCACAACCCAGTAATATGTAAGTCATTGCACATTTAACAAAATAATTCATGAAAGATTAATTTTCATTCTCATTCTACATACTCATTGTTGTTGTGCACTTTTTTCAAGTGTAAGTTTTCTTTAGTCACAACTGTACTGTTAAAAAGGGAAATTAGTATTAAACATCACAACAGTATTACTGCATAGCAAATTCGCTGTCTTTTATCAATCACAGGCTTGAAATAAAAGTAACAAACTGAAGATAACATAAAAATGTGGCACTGTTAAGCTTGTTACTTTTTCTTTTGAAATAGATGCTCTTAACATTGTAAGCTGTGCTCCTTAAATTTTCAGCTGTGTGCCTAAAAATGTACATCTGGTAGCACAAGTGCTCCTAAACTCAAATTTAAACTTTGAGCCCTGTCACAGCAAGTGGGTCAAAAGTGACTGCAATTCATGGCTCTGGTGGAAGTAAATTCTATTACACAAGATTATTTTCCTGAATCTGGAATCATGAAAATCACCCAAAATCACCTGTCCTGTTAAGAATAACAGTTACTACATTCTTCTTGCATCTGCTTAGAAAACTCTTTTTCTCTGATAATGCCAATGCTAGCCTGAAGAATTCAAATCTTTGATCCAAAAAAGAGCCCATCAGAGACCCCCCATCCCCTTCCCTTCCCTTTTGACGTTACCTCTGTAAGTTAGTGTGATTGAAGAAACACAACTTGGCTTCTTTCATTTCACAAGGATAGGCTGCTTTGCAATGTACTCTAGCCAAATTATTGTAGAAAAGAGATGATGACATTGAAAAAGATAGATTATTTCTAATGGCCCACGTTCAATATATTAAAATTCTAACATGACTTCGAGGCTTTCTGGTCATTTTTCTGTATTTGGTTTGGTGTTCTTTGTGCTCAAATCTCTCCTGAGAATTGTGAGACAATGGAGTCGTAGAAAATTTGCAATTTTGACCCTAAAGCCTTAGAGTCATGTTAGAATTTTAATATATCGAACATGAGCTGTTAGCTCAATTCCCACATCCGTTGAAACTGAGGTCCTGGGACCAGAATTTGATAAGAGTCAGGTGTCAACTTCATTTCAATTCAATAAAGATTCGACAGGAACAAAGAGAAAGTGCAAACTAAAACATAACATTAAACAAACCGAATTTCATGACCTCTATAAAAATGAGGTGATTAGACTGTTGAACTATTTGAATACTAAACAACCGGATTATTACTATCTTGAATCCGTTTATCAATACATTTAAGCTGGCTTTAACCTCTCAAAGGAAGCCAACTTCATGATCATAGTACAGTAAAATTTCTCATTAAAAGGATACGTATAAAGCTCCATATAGCGTGGCTTTGACACACTCTGTTGCTCGTGAACGTCTTGAATTCCTTTTTCAAGATCATCCCAGATTTCGTCCAAGTTAATTTGACGTAATCCATGTGGATTCTGTGTCCTAGAAGCCGACAAACCTCGGCGTCTGAGTTCCTCCTCGACAAATTCGAAAAATATTTCCCAAGGAAAGCGCATTTTTTTAAGACTTTTCCTCTCGACACATTAGGGACCTTAAGATCCAGGACGGGAGCGAGGACGACAAACCTCGGCTTCTGACTTCGTTTGTTAAGTTTTCTTTCCCGTAACCCCGAGAAAAACGTACCACTTTTGATTATCAATTAATCTTCCCTCCAAGAAATAGTAGCACTGGTCAGTACCTTGTCGAATTCATCCCAAACGTGAAGAATTTTGCTATTTGACACACACAACTCCAGCCCAACACAAATGGATGGTCGAGACAAACACTTCCCTTTTGACTCCAGAAGCGTATATCAAGCAATAATTCGCCTAGAAAGAATTGTCATTTTCTTAGATGAATTTCTGCTTGACAAATGCGAGACATTTCGAGGGAAATACCATCTTTTTATGACTTTTCCTCTCGACACATTATCTTCTGGCACGTAAAACAAGATGGCTGCTAGTCTGTGACGTCACAGTTGACATGACCGCAAGGCATGCTTACCCGCGCCTTTCAAAAGTTGCCATGCGCGTGCTAACAGCAAGTGGTAACGTTGCGAGTATGCGCGAGCCGCTGGACGGAAGTTTGTCGTGGTATTGGATCGCAGCGAATGCAGCAAAGAAAAATGGCGCCTCTTTTAAAAATTACCATCGTCTTAGTCATCTGTTCTATCTTTGTGGAGTGCAGATAAGGCAAAGTCTTCTTTGTAATATGCGAGATTGGTCTCAAGGCTAATAAGTCGCAGATCACTCACAATTTTGAGCGGTTTGTGGTCCATGAGGGATTATTGTTTCGTGTTTTGGCTTGCGCGCGGACACGTCGATGGGGTTCTGTGTAACAGCTGCAAAACTCCTGTGTTAAACACTGGATAACTGGGAAAAAATCTCTTCATGTAAGTTGTGACCGAGTACAAAACGTCCGACGCTTACGATTTGAATAAAACGCTGTGAAAAAAAAGTCTAAATGCTAGTCTGTTTATATAGTCATAACTGCAGTTCTTGCGACAATCCCCTTGCAATAATACGATTTCACGTCAGTTATGGTTCAGGAACGCCCTGTTTTTCAGAGATGTGCAACCTTAGTGCAGTGATTCTGCCAGTAATTACTTTTCAGAGATACCCCATCCTAACCACCAGTGGCCAAAGCAGGTGCAGTGCCCTAATTCTGCGACTGATAAAATTTCAAAGATATCCCACCCAGGGCTATGAAATTGTAAGTTTCCTTTTTTGACTAGATGATATAAAACTGAAGACCCAAACTCAAGAAATGACATCTATTAAATCTATGTGATGCCTTAACTTATTCAGGGGTGTAGGCAGAATTTTGTAATATGGAAGCTCTTGACTCCAAGATGCCCCTTATACTTCTAAAATAAAGAATTAGATGAGCCAAAACAGGAGTGTGGTATAAGATGTTTCATATTACAGATGTGTTTTATTGAGGTAACCCTAACCATCAAAAATCCTTCCCTTTACTCCCCACACTTCTACATACTAGAAAATTGCAAATATGCACACAACAGTGAAAATACTTAAAATAGTAAAGATCATAGTCATATCTAAAACTGCTTTTTCTCTCTGAGACATTGAAGTGAATTTTCTGCTTCTGATACTTCCATGCTTGCACTCATTTTTGCTTTTCATAAATTTTGTTTTTGGTATTTTCTACTGCACATGTGCTAATTATTTAAGATATAACTAATAAGGCCTAGCTCCCTTGACTAGCCCATATCTGGGCTAAGATTAAAAAATTGAAAATGAGAGAAAATTAGCTCTAACTTTTCCTTTTCACTCAATTTCAACATGAGGAGAACTTAAGGATCTTAAAGCCTGATATTTATAAAGTCTGAGTTTATGGTAGCTTCAAGTGAGCCAATGTATGACTCATTACGCGGGATGACGTAGTCAGCCAGCGTCTAAAATTCGGTAGCGCATTCCTTTCGTCGTCTTGGGAGTCAAAAATTGCCTTGTTTTTTTAACTTTCCCGTATCCCGTGCCCGTCCCGAGAAATTGTGTGGATTTTTATTGGCCCCAACGTCGAAGCACGTGCAAGTCAGGCTGGATTGCACGAGCCGATAAAACATACTGCGTCAGCAAAGGAGGGAAAAGTAAGCTCACTGTGTAGAGGAGGACGAAGACTCAAGGCCGTGCTCTTAATACGGCGCAAAACTTGGCCTCGGGCGACTGAAAAGGTGGCCCAGCCGGGCGACTTGCTTGTGTTGGTTTCTTGTTTCTGTTGAGTTACAGTCAAAAAGCTAAGAATGTCTAGAATTTATTACTTGCGAAATCGTAGCTCTCTCGGTGGCTTCGCGGCCTAAAAAGAACGCTCCTCTCGCTAAGAAACTATTGAGGTCGACTCTGTAAGTAGCAATAAGTAGCATGTCTATCAAAAAGCTTTAGGAAAATGTTGTTAATCGGGCAGCGGGCACGCGTTGATGTTCAAAGGTCGTTTCACGTGAATTCACATGTAACATAATCCTTGACTATGAACGTGACAAGCTGCACAGTTTTCGATAGCAACAGCTTTTCATAGTAACATTGAAATTTTTTCTTCAAATTAGGATTGTTCATTAGTTAGTTTTTTAAAACAAGTTGTTACTTTTGCTCTGACAGGCGTGAAGTACGGTCGGCGACGCAAAACAATAGTTTTGTATTTTGAAAAATCGCTGAATAAACAAGGGAGTCGGTCTTCTATGTTCTTTAAATATTTTTGCCTTTTTTGACTGCTGTGTCTGCGAGGATAAAACATAACTAAGATTGTTATTCCAATAAAATACGATTCATAAAAAAGAAAAGAGACGACTATTATAATTGTGATTGTTCTAGAATCGGGTGTAAAGGAGGTATAAATCTATAAAATCCCGCATTGTCTTTCGTGTCGTGACAAGGCATTACGTATCACGTACTAAAAATAAATACGCAAAAGCTAACCGAATCTACATTTGTCCTGAACATTTCACCGATAATATAGAAAGAAACTACTTCTGTTTTACGCTTAAAAGACGACTTTACAACAAGATGATCTATTCAAAAGAGATAATAGTTTTGGGGCGGCCCCCGGTGGGGGGGCACTTCCTTATAAAGAGGCTAATAGGGATGTGCCGCTGGATGGGGTCGCATTTTCACGACTAGATTGAACATTAATGGGGTTGCATTTTCAAAAGAGTTACTAGAATGGGGTCGCACATTTTCGGATTTTTGGGGTAAGAGAGCTGTTCATATTTACGGTTAGCAAACCTATCAGGATATTTGTACTCCGGGTGAAAAGTAAAGTGTTCTTCATTCAATTTATTAAAAAAATAGGTCAATTCATTTCTTTATGACCTATTTAAAGGATTGATAAGGTAGATACGTAAATAGAAAGTGACTAACTTGGGATCGCAAAAATTACATATTTCCCCAAGAGTGACTAATATGTGGTCTACAATATTGGCCACAGAAAAGACTATAATGGGGTAGGGGTTCTGAGAGGCCAGCGGCACATACCCAGCAAAAATTAACGCAAGTAACCCCCTGGGGGCGCCATGTTTCGTTGAAATCATAACAGTTTTCCTGGAAAGCTCCACGCGATCTCAGTCAATCTTAACAAGCAAATTTTCTTTTCAACCTAAACAGGAGCTCCTGACCTAAATCACAATGATTAGTAAAAAGAATAGTGCCCTTATTTTTGACCCCAAATTTATTTTTCTATTTAAAAAACATGAAATGTTCGGCGGCGTTGTCCATGTTTCTCATATGGCGCGAAAACTTACTTTCATATGACAACATGCGGGTTTTTTTTTTTCGCACGCTCAGGAGGTCAAAGGGATGTGATTTTTCATGAAAATAATGTTCACAAAATTCTGCTTGACTTGTTAAGAAAATAATTTGTTTAATGTTTAATAATTAACTAACAGCTCATTGATTTATTAATTTGGGCGACCAACTTAGAGGCCCGGGTACCCCAGCTAAAAATGCTTGGGGAGCCTAAAGGGCTCTCTGAAATTTTCCCTAGAGTACTTCCTTGCAGCCCTGTAGTTATTGGAAGTATGATACATTACACGCTATTGTTAAATGTGGAAGTGCATTTTTTGAGGACATTAGTAAAGGAATGCAAATTTTAGTGAACTACCCCATACTCCTAACATATATGGTGGTAATATTGATGTAAGTTTTGCTTTGAGTAGCAAAGGAACCCTTGTGTGTAACTCATCTTCTAGTGTATTAGTCCTTAACAGAACATCTCCGTCTCTCCTGCACACATCTGTTGCATACACTACTCAACTTCCATTTCCATCCAACATACCGGTAATTCTTTCTGAAACCCACACATCCCGCGTAAGCGCCTTCGGGCGTCTTCTTGTTAAAATTAAAGCTTGTCTGTGTGTCTTCTGGGGCACCAAGGCTATTTGATGCAGTTCAGGATGGAGTGACAGACCCTTACATTCTGCAGACAGCATAGGGTAAAATAAAAAATGGATAGCCACCATTTTGTACCAGCTCTGCTATGGCTTGAGTGAAAAGTGCGACTGGTTTAAATGTGACAATGCAGTCGACCTCAATGACTATCACCTGAATCAACAAGGTTTAGTGCTGAGCATCTCATAGGGAGCTCCTGCAACAGGAAAAAGGCAAATGAAATTTTTCATAACTTGTCATCTTGCGACACCAGGAGCATCAATGAGCTTGTTTCAGGGGCAATTTTACATAAATTGCAACTTGTGCAGCCTATGATATATGACTATATACACCACTACAGTGTATACACAGCCAAACTGACATTGGCAAGCCAAGTGCTCCTAAATTCATGTGCACAAACACTGAATATATGAGACCCAGAGTATCAAAAGATCTATTTTTATCAGAGAGTGAAAAGTTACCCCTGTGGCATTTAGTTGTTGCCCACAACTAGCGATACCCCTTTAGATATTTCAGGATTTCTAAAGTGTCATGGATACGAATTTATATTCAAGAAGGAAAGAAATCTTTTGGATAGAAAAGGAATAATAACATTCATGATTTTTGTAAGCATACAAATACATTGTATGTGATGAAGCTAATTCTTATGTGGATGCCAATGTAAGGAATCAAATACAGGGATTTCATGTCCAGTGTTGTCTGTACTTCAAACAAGAATGGCAGTCCAGCAAGTGCAAAGGTGAACAACGGCAAGAATTGTTTTGCGCTTGAACTTGTGCTAGTGTCAAAGTGGGAGTAATATTGTAATGGTCATATGAAAATGCATTAAATCACACTTATTAAATCACTTTTATAGTAGCACTGGGAAAAGAATGCACATATGTGTATTTTCATATTTTATATTGATTTCAGTTATGTTTCAAGACATTATGTAAACATTTTAAGCATAACATTACAATTCTTTTAGGCGCCAATTTTGTATGTATAAACAAATCATCATTGAATAATTATCAGAATAAAATCATCTTCCAAATGGTGAGGGTTG